TGTATATACGATTCTCCGGAGGCCACTGAACTTGCGGTAGAGAAAGGTCGGGGTTGATGTATGACGGCGGTGGAGGAGGAAGTTTGTAGCCCGCGACGGGGCGGGGAGAGGTGAGCAGCGGTGTCGGAAGGAAAGTTTTGTAGTGTGAATGTTATTCTCCGGTGGTCGCTGGACGGGCGGGAGGATGGATGACGGCGGTGAAGGAGGAAGGTCGTGGTCCACGGCGGGGCTGGTGGAGGTGGGCGGCGACACCGTGAATTTGTGTGTGTGTGGGAAATAATTGCTTATTGAACAGAAGGAATTAAATGACCATTTGGTGTGGTGGGCCCCGCTGCAAGTGGGTAGTTGGGTGGGTGGGAACTGGGAAGTTGAATTAATGTTTAATGACCATAATGTCCTTATTTAATTGTCATATATATATGTGTATATTTATTTACCATAATGCCATTATTAATTGATCAAATTTTGGCTTTATCTTAACCACTGATATGATGTATCCAATGATTCAGATTCATTCTTATTTCTTTCATTGTGATTCATTCTCATTTGAGCGCATTTATATATATATATATATATATATATATATATATAGTTACTTAATTTACTATATTTTTTTTTTGTCTTACCTATTTTGGAAGTGTTTTGACAATTTTGAAATTCTCATTAACTATATTTTTCATGGTATGTTTTATTTGAAATAATACCGTAGTTTGTTTTCGCCATTATCATCTCACATCATTTGCATTAAAAAAAATGTTGACCTCATTAGAACATTCAAATTTATTTTATTTAAACTGTAATGGTTTCTTTTTGTGGTACTTCATAGAAAGAAACAGTAACTACATTACTTACAAGGGTGATTCTACCGTCAGTTATCCCTCGTACATGCCTCGTACATGCATAACAACATGTATCCCTTCAATTCCTGCCAAGTGTCTCTAATGATTTGTGTAAATACTGAAATGGCCTTACTTAAATAAAGTTGTAATGAATTTACATAAAAAGTCTTTATGTATTTCATTTTTAATATTGACCCTAAATATAATTACATATCTCAAATAAACCACCAAATTTTCGTAAATTACATATTACATGTCATTTTATTTGTCTCAACTTTTGTTTTTCTTTATCAAACTCAATTATCGCCGGACATGGAGGTTCCTGCCGGTTTCCGGGAGTTGACAATTGACATGAAGGTGATCGGCAGCAACTTCCCCGGCAAAAGGATGGCGGCGCGACTGCTCCGTTTCTTGGCAGTTCAGTCCGATGGTCGCGCAGCTTCTTATCCGGAGAAATTCTGGCGGCGAAGGAAATCATTGGTGGTCTCCGGTGACTTTCAGGCGTCTAGGTGGCGGATTCCGGCGGCAAGGTGGTGAGAAGCTTCATCTCTGGTACGTACAGCGGCTAATTTCTGAGATGCGGACGCGTCTATGTGGCTTCGGGGACGTGGGATGAATGAGCCGCGAAGCTCCGACAGCTCTTCAATGGCGGACGAACGTATGCTGCAAATGGGTGTACATGGCATGTGGGAGTGATGAAGATGATAGCCCAAGTTAAAATTACCTCTTTACCCTCACTTAAATTGTTGGGTTGAGCTAGTTTTAAGATCCTAAACGGGCTGGTTGGATGGCCCAACTGAACAAATAAAATGAACCTGATACTTATTTCTTGTGGGCGGTGAAATTGGGCTTGTCCCAATCTATGGCTCGCACTCCATTTATGTCCATTTTACGCCATTTTCGACTCCAAAAATTATTTCTGATATATTTCATGTTAAAACTCAAATAAAACACCTCATCATAGTTTAATAAAATTAAATAAATATATATTAATTAAGTAAATAATAACTAATTATATATCAAACTACGACGAAACGGGCATGTAAATCATTATAAAATGCACGTAAAAATGACGCATGTCATGTATATAATTACTTTTTTTTCTTATTTTTTATTTATATTGATTAAATAATTTAACTTTTTTTACTTGCTTAGTTGAAAAAAAAAATATGATCTTGATGAACATTTTTTTGTTGTTGTTGTTGTTTTTTTTTTTATCTAGTTGGTTTGATTAGTCGTCGGTTTTTGTTGTAATTGCACTTTCCATTTATTCCCTACAAAATTCAAGAATGATATATCTTTATTTATTTTTTGTGTTGGTTTATTTTTTAATTTTTTAATTTTTTTTAATTGCTTTAACCTCTATTCGATCGCACATACTTAAAATTAAAGTAAAATATTTAGTAATCAACTTATATGAATATTAGTCCTTTTTTTAACAAGTTTGAAAAAAAAAACTGCGAGTAGAAATGAGGTGTACATAGAGACTTCTTTTTTAGTTTGAAAATCGGACATATGACTCATATTTATGTGAAGATCGACTGTTGCAACCAAACAACATGTACATTTTTTCTGAAAACTATAAGTACATCTTTAAATAAAACAAGGTCCGTTCATTTTTTTTTTCAAAAATAAATCTATGTTTTGATAAAAAAAAACCATCAAATCGTGTAGTTATTTCATAATTTTGAAAGAAAGCGATAAAACAAACACTAAAATAAAATTTTAATATAATCTACTTCTGAAATCAACTGAAAACATGATTTTTTTTAAATCATTCTCAACAAACATTACAGATCTTAATAGATCTGTACTATAATCGTCCTATTGAACCATTTTCTTATGATTCGTTGAAGTATGTTAGCAATAT